AGTAGAGGGGTGTGCTTGCTGTATTTGTATCTTCAGTTGTGGACTGTCCAAGGTATCTACAAACTGATCCCTCAGCAACAACTTGAGGAAATTGGGTGGTGCAGTTGGGGAGGCCTTGTGTGTCATACTTTCCAAGTCCTGTGCCAGCTCTTGCAGGCTCTCCCCTTTAGCACGAACTCTAGTTCTAAACCTAGCCCTGTAGACTTCGGACTGATTTTGGGTTCCATACCCGAGTTCTAGAGCATCTACCAGTGCTCTATAGTTGTGCCTGTCATCAGCTGACAACTGTCCAAGTATTTGCAATGGTTGTCCCTTCAGGCTTGTTGCCAGATATACTGCTTTCTGCTCCTCTGACCACCCATTCATTTTTGCCAGGAGCTCAACTTGTGCTCTATGTGCTTTCCAGGGTGCCTTCCCATCAAATTCCTTTGGCTTCCTTCGTACTGGTTCACCCCTATTGCTGACACTCATGTCTGGAATGTCACTTCTAGCAGGACTGAAGATGTCTGCATTAGTGTTTAGCTGTAGGGTCTGGGAGGGGCTTCCCATTGTCTGAGGCTAATTAGGTTGATGGCTAATATATCCTCCTTGTGTAAAAGACAGTAAATCATTATTTAATGTATTTAATTCGCTTTGAAATTTACTAATGTTTTCCATTTGTGTTCTCTGGCTTTCTCTCAACTGTTGGAGACTTTCTTCTTGTTTATTTTCTTTTTCCTCCAACCACTGTTGTAGTCTCTCTTCTTGTTTATTTCCTCATTCTTCTTGTTTCTTTTCTTTTTCTTCCAACCATTGCTGTAATTTCTCTTCTTGTTTCTTTTCTCATTCTTCTTGTTTTTATTTCTTTTTCCTCCAACAACTGCTGTAATCTCTGTACTTGTTTATTTTGCCGTTCGAGCTGCCACTGTTGCACTATTGCTGCCATCAAATCTGCTAAGCTGTAGTTTGATTAGCCGCTTCTCGTTTCCATTTTTTTTATCCCACTTCTTACACCAATTTGTTACGTCTCTGTTCATTTGTTAATTGTCCGTAAAAGTTCTTTCCGAAGAAAGTTTAGCGATACAAGTCCTTTCTTAAATAAAACTAGCTTATTCTTTCTCAATACAACTTTGCAATACACTTAATTTCCATAGTCACGCTATAACTTAAACAAACGCTATAATTCACAACGAACGATTCACGCGCTTGACTCAATTGTCCGTTTCTATCTCTGTCTGCAATTCAATTCCCTTGTTGCCGTCACTTCTTACCGGTCTTATATACAAGAATACCAAACATCTAGTAAACACTCGAGCATTCAAGAACCTTCGAGAATATCATGACGTACGTGACTTCCACTGTTGTAACAGTACATTCACTTAATGCATATGACTATCTATGCACCTCTATCAAACTATCACTTCTCATTTAGCAGGTTTGCACTTGGAATTCTATATTTTTTCTTCTTGATTAGTGTTTGAGATTGAATTTTTCTTGAAGTGGTTTAATTTAACTTACTCGGTTTTTCTTAAGCATTTTATTTCATCCTTCTTCTGGTGACATTTATTATTAACTTCACATGCTTTTGTCAACTGCAAAATATGAATTCTGAAGTTAATGTCACCACTTCTGGTGTATCATGTTCGACAGGTGCTTTATCAGAGGCTTCAAGTGTTGGCGACCCCACAGGAGATTTGTGTATGTTTATTTGCAGGGAGATTGAACATTATATGGGTTAACCTTTATCTCCAAACATTGCCCCAATTTCTTCTGAACCCGTGGAACCTGGACAAGCTCAAGAGGACTTTGTTCATCTGTTTCCACATCCTGACTGCCATGTTCTCCCTGAGGATTCTGTTCGGCCTTACATATTTTTTTCAGACTTAATTTCTCAGGTATGTGAAGTTTCATCCCTTGCTCCTATATCTTATGGTCTACGTCCTTTATTACTGCATGAACCTACTTCCCAACACTTATTGGTTTTCCTCCATTCCCTGACTTTTAGGTTCATGCTGGATAATGTCTCTCTCAGTTTGGTGATGGTATTAGTATGCCTTATTCCCCATGGGCTTCAGATCAATCTGCTCTTGTTTTTCATGGCGTTCATTGTCCATATCTCGACCACCAACTGTTGGGTTTTGGTGTTACGAATTTGGGTGGGAGCCATGAATCTCCCATTAGTCTTACCCATGCCCAATTTCCTGTCTCTGTCCTACCCTCATGACTCTATTGTGGTACCTTTCCACAATCAGTCACCTGTCCGATGTTCTTCCCGAGGAAAATTATAACTTAAGCTGATCAATGGCGATCAGTACAATAAAACATCTCATAATTACCATAAACAATACCCAAAGGAATTAATTGTAGATGTAAAAGAATTTTTTCAATTTCCCACAAAATTATATTTTGTGTTTAAATTGCACATTGAAAAATATTTGTAAAAAATGAAAGTGAGTTTATGAGCTCTGTTCAACGAATCTTATATTCAATAAATTCTGTCTTATTTAATAAGCTGTGTGTATTAAATATTGTAATATAACTTATTCGATGTAAAAGAGTTACTTCTATGAGGGACAGATTTGTTAAAAAATATAATTGAAATCAATACAAAAATGGTAACATAACAGTAGATGTTGTTAGAAATATGTTCTATCTGAAACTTGTGCTGAAGTTTAAAAACTCAGTGATATAAATATACATTTTTTTATTGTTGATCTGCCATTTGATTGTGTAGAGAATTTGTTACAATAGTGATACATAAAGTATATTCTGTTGTATGTTTATCTTCAGGAGAAGTGGTTTCCTTAGAAGAAAGATCTTCACAGATAATTTGTGAGCTTGGTGTCATGAAAGAAGAGTGGGAAGAGAATTATAATGAAGTACCAGTGAAGACTGAAGTAATTTGTAAATTATAACTTGTACAGATTTGTCATTAGAAAAAAAAATGATTGAGTAGTTATAATGATGTCTTTCTGAAGATCAGCTACCTGGAAACAGACCAGTGATAAGATGTTTCTAGTCACAGGTTTATTGAATTATCTACAAGAATGAACATAGTGCTGGATAGTTGAATGTTAAATCAGCGATAATATTGTATATGATGAGAATGTGTTAAGATGTTAAATGTCAGTTTGATTCCTGGCCACTTATCTTACCTGATACATTCTGTTATAAGGATATGTTCTAAAATAATAAATGAAAAAATAGCTGTTACAATTAACAAATATTAATTTAACATATATGTTTTATTAATATAACTAATGTGATTTTTATGTTATGATGAAGAACTAACATATTCATATATTTTGTTTATTGTGGTCAAGTAATTGATTTTAAGTTAGACAAGATTGTAAGCTGCATATTAGTAAAAAGTTTAGATATATGAAATATAAACTCTGTCATTACTGGTGTACACCTTTCACGCATTAAGTACATATCTATGTATTGGTGGTAACAAATTGTTAAGAAATTTAAACATATTACAATTTATTAACTCTATGGATATAGGATGGGGTCAAGGTCAATGTGCAACTGTCATATACATATATTTAAAATTTAATTAAGCTACTTTAGTATCATCATACACCAGTATGCTTGGCATTGAAAAGTAGGTTATAATTCAAATGTTTATATTATCAATGTTTTAATTTCATGATTTCTAAAGGAAATATTTTAATCTATTCTCAGTTTCCAATTTTCTGTATTACAAGATGCTTCTGATACTGTCTTACTTCCCTTCCCACAAAGCTATCTCAATTTTCTCTCTGCCCCCTAAGCATTGCTAAAAATGTTAACACTCAGTGCTCCAGTCTATATACTCCACACATTTTGTGCCAATTTTGAACATGTGTATAGCATGTGGTCACCCTCCACCAATAGTATTCCACCACCTATATTGATGCAGCTAGCTCCCTCTTTATGTTCCCTCTAAATCTTATTTTCTCAGTTGGCACTGCATCGTTTAGACCCATGTTTTTTCACAAGTTACTACTGTTTATGATTGTACTTTGTTGACATTTTATTATCTTTTTCAACAGTTTTCTTTTAGTGTGTTTGCATTCAATTGTTTAATTAATTTTTTTTTTTTTTTGCATTTGTTTCTTGTTACCGAATTATATGGTAAATTAGAATGACTTTGTAATTCAATGGATGGACAACATAAATTCCTGTTATGGTAGGCAACACTTCTGGTACAACTACCCAGGCATTGGGTTTGACTATATCTGCTGAAGAGGTACAGGCCTTAATTCACAAGGAGTTAGATTCCTACATTCAGCTAGTGATTTCTTTTTTCAGCATGACAATGTTTCTGAGGATGAATACAATCAAAGAGAATAAAACTGAATTCACTTTTTCCAGCACCATCTTTTTTTGGCCTGTCACACTCAATACTATTTATTTTTTACAGCTGGTTAATCGGGTATGTGGTTAATTACGTGTTTCTATTTCCTCCTAGGTTGTGGACATTGTCAACCGGATATTTATGCTTTTAATGTTACTAGAATCCTCTACCATTCCTCATATGTTATCATATATCCAGACTGGTACTTCTTCCATAAGATCTCTGTTGCCTGGGAAGGCCATTTGACTTTCAAACCCATTTCTTTACTTTCAACCTCTAACTTGCACTCCCATTTCGGTCCCGATTGGCTTCCTTGTCTGGTTCACTCCCTATGATATTATGGGGCATGAACTGCTTTTTTTCAGGGTTCATGTTCCTGACCTTTTATTCCTTGGAACCCTTCTATTTCCCATGATCTATCCCCTGTCACACTAAATGGTTGGGTTCATTAACTCCTTAGGCTGGCATACTTACACTTATCAATGGAACTTTGCTGTCTCCTCAATGTTTTTTCTCATCTGAATTTAACCATTATTTGGCAGCTCATCTTTGCACTGCTCCCTGTCCCTTCATTGCTCATTATGTGGCTGTATCTTTCGAAAGTGGATATCGTCTCCCTCCCATGGCGATTCTAAACATGTTCATTCGCCTTTGACTTGGGTATGTATTTTCCCAACATTTTTTTTGTGTTCTTTACAGGGACCCTGTTTTATCACTACTCACAGGAACCTACTTTGTGGTGATGTGTTTTCACTCAAACCTGCACTATATACTAGTGGAGCTATAATGCTCACTGTAAAGATGTTTTTATGCAAGACCACTAGTTGTATACCACAAGCCCTGTTTTTGGACTCTCAACAGCTGGAATGATTGATTCAGGTTTTTCTCTAGTGCCAAATTTCCCACCTCCATTTAACCCTCACCATCCTCCTGTGTTACCTTTCCTCTCTTCATCTCATTACAGAGGCTATCCACTGATCTTCCACAGGGTTTTTGAGATATTTGTAACCTTATTTTCTCCTCATTGGTGCATTTATCCTCCTTGGCCCTTTCCCTCTAAATGTGTTTCTTCTATTATTTGATCACTTGGTTAGGAACACTCTAACTAAAGTGCACCTACCCATGACCTGAGATCTTTGGATGGCTCCTTTTTTGTGTAGGTAGACTCTTGGAGATCTGTCCAAGTTATTGGAGTCATGGGTGAAGGCTGTTGAATAACAGTCCTCTATTTCTTCCTTGGTTTCTCAACTGTTGTAGCCTTCACCCGCTCCTGCTTCTATTCCTATCTTCCATGTTCACCTTCTTTATCCATTTCTCTTTCCTGTGTTTTGGCAGTGAGTCATCACATTATTCACAGCCAAAACCCATGCTGCCAACAGTACTGGAGATCATCCTGTTGATTCTGGCAAGGTAGGAGCATGCTTGCCTAGAGTTGTGCATCAATGGCACAGTTTCAAATTTGATTCATGGGTGATTCTGGTACTGTCAGAAGGTTTATCCTTTCAGTTTCTGAACCATCCTTTTTTGTCTATAGACCCAGTATCTTTCTCTCTTCCGTGGGATCCTACATCATGCCAGCATTTCTCCAATGCTTCTCAAGATGCTACAGAACCTCTCAGTTTTTCTTCTCTAGATTGTTTGTAGTTCCCCAAAAAATGGACCATCCTATCACATCTCAACTGGTTCATTGACTTTCTCCATCTCACAATGGAGTCATTCCTTACACTGCATTAGGCACTTTCTCCAGGTCTGTGGATGATGAAAGTAGACATTTTGGATGCTTCTTACATATCCCTATTACCCCATCATCCAGATGATACATTTGGTTGGTAGATAGGGGTCATCTTTATCAGTTACATATGTTAACTTTTGATCTGGTGTCTGCACACTACATCTTTTGTTGGGTGTTCAGATCATTTCCTTGACTACTTCATGCACATAGTTTGCATTTCATCATTACATGGATGACTGACTATTATTAGCTCAATCACAGCAAGCTACTCACCAACACAATTGCTTCTTTGAGAAGCAACTCATGTGAGAAGTCCATCCTTTCCCTGACACAATATCTCATCCACCTGGGAGTATTTTCAACTCCCTCCTCAGTTAGGTCCAGCATTTTCCTCTTCATTGAAGGTCATTGGAGCTCATGGTACTCAAAAACAAATCCTCTCATACACTGTCTGCATGTGGGGGTTCTTTATATTTTGGGGACATGGGCTTTTATAGAAGCCCTTATACCCTAGGGTCATGCTTACATGCACACTCTTTAGTGAATGATTCATGATCAGTGAAACCTTGCTTGGGATCCTCTTGACTATATTATCCATTTCCCTCGTTCTTTACTGCAAGCCTATTTACATAGTGAATCAATGGAGACAAGACCACGTTGGGTGTTCTTCTTTCACCTCTATGACCTGAATTGCAACTGTATACAGATGGTCCTCTTATGGGTTGAGGAGCAAATATCTGTGGATTCTCAAGAAATCTTGGGTCACTTGTCTTCAGTCGATATGGCAATGCACATCAAAATCTTAGAGCTTCTTGCTGTCCATCAGGCTTTGGATTGATTCCTACTTTTAGTACGAGGCAAATTGGTCATTATCCATTCCAACAATTTGACTGTTGTCTAATACATCATTCGACAAGGTGGCATCTGTTCATGTTCAGTTTGTTTTTGAATGTTAGTCATATCATGCATGCTTAGTAGTGTGTCATATTCCAGGTGCATTTAATCTTGTCACAGATGAATTATCTCATCTCAACAGAGCCTTCACATGGAGTGGTTCCTCAGTTCCCAAGTTTTTTCGTTGTTATGCAATCAGTGGAGTACTTCATGTCTGGACGCATTTTCCACCCATCTAAATAACAAATTTCCCCGTTTTTGGTCCCTAGTACCTCATCCTTTGGCAGTAGATGTTTTCAGTCAGGATTGGACCAACCTTCACCAGTATCCCTATCTTCCTGTCACTCTCCTTCCCAGGGTTTTATCTATCATTTAGTCCACTCCATGACATGTCCTTCTGATAGCACCTTTCTGGCCAGAACAAACCTGGCTTCCAGTCCTTTCCCTCCTTCAGACAGTGCCCACTTTACCACTTTCTCTTTCCCAATCCCTCCTCCATCAGCCTCAGTTGTTGGTGTTTCATTCCGTGATCCCTACACTCCAATTTCACGTGTTGCTTTTGTCCTGTCCATTGCGAGTTGGTACAGACTATCCACACATGTAACTTCCACCCTTTTCCATTCTGTTCATCCTTCTTCCCTCATGGTGTATCAGAGAAAATTGTGTTTTTTGACGTCAGTCTGTGCACCATGATTGCCTTCCTTCCCATCCAAGTATTATTCATGTCAGAACTTTTTACGTGGCTGTTCCTTTGTTTTTTTGTTCCTTAGATTGTATAAATCAGGAGTGGTTTTCTTTTGAAAATATGGTTTTGTGATAACCCATTGCACAGTCTTCAGTGTGGCATTTGTCCAGACTCTCAATCATGGTTCTTCTCTTTTATATTAGATTATGGAAGTCCCCACTACTTACCGGTTTCCAGCTGCTGGTTTGGTGGACCATGGAGGCTTCCTCCTGAATGTGCTCAATTTCACTCAGTTAAGAGCAGAGTGATGATGTTCTGTTGATGTAGAAGGTGTAGAACCCTCCTCCAACTTCAAACTGGAAGAAAAATACCAAAACCCAACTGGACATGGACTGGAAATGATCTACTCAAACTCAATTCACCCCTCTAGCTGGGTAATCCTCATCCTAACTTCTCCTCCAGGTCAGTTGCCAGAAGATCTGGTTTGGAAAGGAGCCGGACCAGGCAAGATATTCTGGCCAGCTGGAGACCCCAATCTTACCATCCCCAGGACATCAGTTCCTGGGAAGTCTGGTTGAGATTGAGTGAACCCCTATGTTGCACTTCCCTTCATACTTTGATGTCAGGTTCCTATGTGACTTATTTTGATTATACATCTGCAAACATGTGCCCTGACTAAGACAGAATGGAATAGTTTTCTCTTCTGTTTTCTCGTCTTGGGGCAAAGACAGTACGGATCCTTCTCCTACTGCAGACCGGACTGTAGTTGACTTATGGTCTGAGTACGGTCTGATGCACCGTAGCCATTCTATATCATGGAGCACAAAAATCTATATATATTAAACAAACTAATCAACTGGGGAACTTCTGAAAATATATTTTCAATAGACACTTACCTTTCCTCACACTTCCTATCCTTTCTCTCTACTTCTGGTTCTTCTTTTCTGCCTAATCTCAAAGTGAAGATTCAGTTCTACAGTACAGAGGGAGCAAACTGTGTCACTCTCCTATTGGTGGAGGTTTGTAGCATACGTATTTACATGCTACAATGCTGCTGAACCATGTTGAAATGTAGAGTAGGTGGGAGTTTCAAGGTTAGTAGTGAGCAAACATATTTGTGCTTATAGAGAGCAGCACTGAACAAGAAAAGCTATTAGTGTTGGGAGGTAAGTATCTATCGCAAAAAATTTTCAATGTAGGAAAATATTAACATTCATTTTGATAAAATATTGAGACTATATATGTATGTATTGAATTTTCTACTGTAGTGATTACATAGTTTTTTTTTATTAACATTTTAATTTCAGAACACATTTGTCAGGGTAAAATCAGATGAACCTGGTGATACACAACAAGATGAGATCATTTCTGAGTTGAGTGAGAATGATGATAAAGACTTTAAAGATGAGGTTTTGAGTGTGAAAAAAGGAAAGGAAATACAAGATGATTATCAACAAGTTGGCTCTGGGTCAGAAACTTTCCCTGGTAAATAAAACATCTCCAAAATAATTCATCAAATCATTACTACTGGTTAAGATGGATAGTGTTACATTTAGTTAAGTGTTAGTTATAATTTGAAGTGTATAAATAAGGTTGTTAAAATTATATATCTTATCTTTACATTGTCATAGTTATTAGCTTATAAATCACCTATGTCTAATTGCTAATTAGTTACTGTTTTTAGTTATCACTAGACAGTAATTACTAAGTAGTTTAATACTACATTTCAGCTGCTAATCTACTGCCTTAATGGAACCAGAAGTTGATCCTAGAAAGTTTGGTATGCTATCTGCAGTTCTCAAGAGGTTCTGTCCTAGGATGGTGTTATCAGTTGAATAGTGAAGGTTTTCTTTTGTGTGTGCTAGATTTCCAACACTCATATGATTCTTTACTATGAATAATCAAATGAGTACAAAGCTGTTAAAAGAATATAGTCATTAATTACCAAAACACTGATCTCATGCTTAGTTCTGTTCAAAACATTTATGATGGACAAACAGTTATTACGTTAGAACACTAATTATCCAAAACACTGAGCTTATTTCAAGTATTTAAGATGGATAAACAACTGGTAGATTAGAATCCTAATTATATAAAACATTGAGCCTGTGCTTTGTTGTATTTTGATCTAGAGAAGATACTCATTATGAACTCAGAACTATAGTAATTATTATTATGTATAGCTTCATGTAATTAGTATTTTTCAACAAGTGACAGTGAAGAGAAACTACATATCAAGTGTTTTACCATTATATTCACAGTATAAAAGTTTATTCTGACACAACACATATTAACAGTTGGTTTAATAGTTTCTGGTGTAGCCCACTATTTACATTATTCATGCTTATTCTGACATGTGGGATTGCAGCTCATCCCTAGCAGACAACCTTTATTATTGGGTCCTAGTATATCCACATGTACTTATCCCGATGACTACTGGCTACTAACTTTCTTTGTAGGAAATGCAAGTCTTGCTATATTTCATTCCAACAATAAAACTAGTGGACGAATATGTTCAAAAGTTCATAAAAACTTTGATAAATGTAGGTAGTTTAAGAAACATAAAGCCTATTACTTTTAATAAATCTAGTTTTTTTGCATTATGATCTTTAATATCTTGGAAAACTACATTAGGAAATGGTATTTATAAGAAA